GCCCGCGCGCGCCGCAAGAGCCTGGGCGAGGCGCGGCGCAGGGAGGCGGCGGCGCCCGCGCTGGGCCGGACGCAGTCCAGCGAGTCGGCCTACGTCTGAGGGGACTGGGATTGGGATGGGATTGGGATGGAACCAAAACTGGGATTGGGATGGGATTGGGATGGAACCAAAATTGGGATTGGGATGGAACAGGATCGGAGCCCGCACTGGGCAGGACGCAGTCCAGCGAGTTGGCCTACGTCTGAGGGGACTGGGATTGGGATCGGGATGGAACCAAAATTGGGATTGGGATGGGATTGGGATGGAACCAAAATTGGGATTGGGATGGGATTGGGATGGGATTGGGATGGGATCAGGATTGGGATGGAACCAAAATCGGGATTGGGATGGAACCAAAATCGGGATTGGGATGGAACGGGATCGGAGCCCGCGCTGGGCAGGACGCAGTCCAGCGAGTCGGCCTACGTGTGATAAAACTGGGATGGGGATGGGATTGGGATTGGGATGGGATCAGGATTGGGATGGAATGGGATCAGAGCCTGCGCTGGGCAGGACGCAGTCCAGCGAGTCGGCCTACGTCTGAGGGGACTGGGATTGGGATGGAACCAAAATTGGGATTGGGATGGGATTGGGATGGGATTGGGATGGGATCAGGATTGGGATGGAACCAAAATTGGGATTGGGATGGGATTGGGATTGGATTGGGATGGGATCAGGATTGGGATGGAACGGGACCGGAGCCCGCGCTGGGCAGGACGCAGTCCAGCGAGTCGGCATATGTGTGATAAAACTGGGATGGAGAGGACTGGGATTGGGATTTGGAGCCAAAATCGCCGGGTTTGGAACCAAAATTGTCAGGATCTGAAGCCAAAACTGGATTTGGAGCTGAAATTGCCAGATTTGGAGCCAAAATCACCAAGAATTGGAACCAAAATTTTTGGGATTTGGAGCCAATATCACCAAGAATTGGAACCAAAATTTTTGGGATTTGGAGCCAATAT